AGAATTTCATAAAAAGGAAAGCAAAAGGATGCATATCAAGTGAAGAGAGACATTTTCGTAGAAGTTGTAATGTGTTTGAGTTTTTCAATAACAATAATATTATTTTTCAGAGCTCTAACAGTAGTTTCTTCGTGTTAATATTTCTATTTTGAAGACATATCAGATACATTTAAAAAAATAAAAATCATTGCAACAACCAGATCTTCGAGACAACACCAACATGAAACACGTTTGTTTCATGTCGCTTTCTGTTGTATCTATCTTTGACATTATTTCGAAAAACAAAAAGTACGGTACTATCAATAGTGAAGTCTTGAAAATAACAATTCCGATTGAGAGTAAAAAATACTCCTTTTAGGAGATTCCTCCTAAAACTTTACCTTTTTCAAGTCATACAAGATTCCTATGGATGAGAGTAAATCTGTAGAATGCGGTTCTTCATTTTCTTGACCAAGTTCATTTACATCTGAGCTAAGGATTAATGAGGTCTTATCTTTTAACGTGTGATTCCTAACACGAGTCAGTAATTTATGAATTCAAAATTCAGTGTCAAATTCAATGTTATGAAAAAACTTTTCTCATGACAGATGTCCCAATTCCTCGTATCAATATAAAATTCAAAGTTAGTTTGAAGGTGGTTGACAATGTTCTATGATGGAAGACCGAACTGATGAAATGAAATTCAAACATATCGAATAGTTTGCATATAAATATACTTTGTGGGTATTCATTATAAATATAGCTGAGAATTTTGAACTGGCATTTTTTTTATTCATTTCAAGTGTAGGATTCTGTTAAAAATTGAGAAGATTAGGTGGTTTCAAAGCCTAGGGCAGAATTTTTGTAACTGAAACTTATTGTGACCTCTACGAACGAAGTAAACGTAATAACGATTCGGTAGTAGTGAGTCATTAAAGTATTTTATGTTTGTTCCTGAACATCAAGTCAGATTACGTCTGCCGAGTAAAAGATGGCAGCACATATCACTTCCTATGTTGAAAATGTTTTCGTATATACTTTTTCCGAAAGGAAATATCTCCAATTTTTTTAGTTCACGACTGGGATGGGGGAACATATTTCTTGAAAAACGGGATCGTAGTAAGACAATTTTCTGAATCGGATTGAATGCATTATTATTTGAATATCAGCGGATTCGATTCACCAGGTTTGTGGTAATAATATTTGTACTGTGATGATATTACAAATATCGCAGTGTTTTGGAAAAAAAGTGATTTTTATTGAGAAAATACAGATTACATTATATTATTGTACCCCTTTTTTCGTAAAAATACAGGGAAGTTGTGAATACATATTTTTCCATCAGATACACGATGATTTAGGAGACATTATTTTCGTGAAATGTGGTACGTATTGATTGCTGATGTTGTTGATGATGTTGTTGAGTGAACACATTTTTTCAAGTCAGATATTTGTTCGTGATTTGTTTTAATGCTATTTTTCACTTCACTTACTTTAAAATCTTGACTACCACCGAAGTGCATCTCTTGTACCACAAACAAATGTCAAATACTTATACTATGCGATTATTTTTTTTTGGTGCCAGTGAGAGAGTAGATTTTTTTTATTTTCTTCAACAACTTCCTGATAGGTAATAATATAAAGTTGGAAAGTTTTGAGACTTTTACTTTTTCACTGACTTACAAAAATGAAGTGCATAAAATCTGCGACATTTTCTGTAGTGAAAGAGGTATACCTACTTCTTGGTTAAGGTTTGAAAAATATCACTTCTCATTGATTTTTGAGGAAAATTAGGTGAATATTGGTATTTGAAGAAAATGGTGAAAAGTACGTCAATTAGTGATACACGAACACGAACGGGTACTACAATTGAGAACGATATTAATAGAGCGCCCAGTATGGAAATATTAGTTAATGCGTTGGATCCAACAGGAACAAGAACCAGAGCACCAACTCAGGTGTTGCGGCCGTTACCACATCGCTTTTGAAAATGTCTGCCGCAGCAGTAGACGAAACGTCGGGCATAAAAGCCTGAAGACCATGGCCAAAAAACTCGGAAAATAGCCTTTATACAGTTAACTCTGGCCGTGAAAGTTTGCACTCTTCAATTTTTGATTATTTGGATTCTTCGCTGGTTCATATTCAGAAATACGTTTTTGGGGTGAAAATTTCAGTTTTCCTTTTATTACACTTCAGTAAATTTCCCAGTAATTAAAATTCGTTCATTTTTTAGAATCTGTAAGGTTATATCCCAAAACAATGAAAAAAACATTGACTTCTCCTCAAAAAATATTTCTCAAACGATATTTCCAATTTTGATTTCAATCTCAAACTTGGGATTTTATCTTCGAAACTGTGTTAGAATCTGATGAAGTCTGTTTTTCCATCAAACAGCTATCGCCTCCTACGAACGATAACCCTCAGAAGTAGAAACTTACTCGAGCTAAGGATTGACGAGGTCGTTTTTTTCAATATGCGATTTCTAGCATGATGCATTGTAGTTCTGAATACTAAAACAGTTGTAATTTATAATTTTTCTCAAATTATTTAGAAAATCTTGAAGTATGAAAGCTAATTTCCATTCTTTGAACGATATTTGTTTGTTTAATAAGTCAATGTTTTTTTAATTCTTTCAAGTATTTAATCTTCCTTAATCTGAGATATGAATAAATCTAGATCAACAGAAAATATGGTACTGAAGGGAAAAGTGAAAATTCTATTTCAAAAAGTTATATAATGTTTACATATGGAAAAAATATGAAAATGGGTCATGGCGGTAGTTTGAAAAACAAAATTTGCATCTGAAAAGAATAAAAAAAGAAATAAAAAAGTAGGTGTTATCTAAATTGATTATTATTATTATCAAATTATCACAACAGGTCGCTTTTCGACTTATGTAGGTCACCACTATTGAATTCATGAGTTTAACAACCAGCGGCAGCGTTCAATTTTATAGTGTGCACCATTGTTTATTTAACTACCTTTCCTTCTAGCTTGCCTAAAAACTCCCGATATAACCGAGTTTTCATATTTCACATGTTAGTTTTATATTTGATAATGGGGTAATACCCGAAACCGGTCATAAAAATAAAATAACCAGTGGAAGTTAGACAAATTTTTTTTTATTCATTTCATCAAAGTGATCTGTAGCAAAATGTAGCTTCGCACTATTCTGCCCAAACCAGATTTTATGGTATGGAGCACTGACTTTTTGAAAACGTGAGGTTAAATAAGGATGGTTACCTACTGCATAAGATATCATCGCTGTGTGGATCTTCATCAGATCAAGAACAGATGTTTTATCGATTGACATAAATGTTCAAATGAAACATTGCCATATTTGAAGATAAAAAGCAATACTGTCATCGTTCTAGTTTGGATTAAAACAAAAAAAGTACACTACCAGTGAGAAATTTACTGGGAATATGGAAAAGAGAGAGAGAGAGACTCCTGCTGGGATCTTTCGCGATTTGAGCAGGGCATTTGATTGTGTCGATCACAAATGTCTAATATCCAAAACGAAATAGGATGGCGATCATGGAAAACCGTAATCATGGTTATCGACTCTTTTTGCCGCAGACAGCAATATGTCACAGTTATACACACTGTAACTGCTTAAGGGAAGCAGTCATATAGATTAGATAGACTCAAGATTGGAGCCGAGGTACCGCAAGGATTGGTCCTGGGACCCATATTATTTGAATGTTACATAAACTATATTGCTAACGCAATCAGTAAGGGTTGTTAACTCTCATTATTTGCCGACGACTTGTAGAAGCGAGAGTCTCGAAGTCTCATTCATACAGTATTGAACTCGTGGTTCGTAGAATAAGAGCGAAATCCCCCATTTGCGAGGGAATCTCAATCCCAATACAGAAACTGGAGACGGAGTCATGTCACTATCATCTTCTTCAAAATTCCTAGGATTCGTTATGGACCACACATAAAACTAAAAGAGCAATGCGAATATCTTCGATCGAAGTAAATAGCTTCTGCTATATGTTTGAGGTCTTGAAAACAGTCATGTCGTCCCCTGAACTTATTTTCGTCTCTAGTGCACATGTAGCTTCGTGGCTCTATTGCGACATATGTTTTTGGGTGAGATGTCAGAAAACTTGACATATTTTCTGTATCTAGTATTTTCATTTATGAACTTTGCAAATATATTCATTTGTCAATCAATGGGTTTCCCCTCTCCCCTCTATTAAGTTATATTTTCAAAGAATGGAGCAGGATAATATGAAATTTCATGATTAGTTATCGAATAGGATCTACGAAGAGATCAACCAGGTTCTACTTCACTTTGAAGAAAGTTCCAGATGATCCAGCACCACCATTCAATCAACTTCAAATTGAATAGAACTGGCAGATACTTGATGAAAATCCATATTAAAAAACTAATCAATGATATCTTACACGTCTTATTATAAAACAGGCCAGATCCACCTAGATAACCATTGTTCATATTTACAAGTCAATATGAATCAACAAATTTTCATGACTTGTTGAAAACCAGGGCCCCAAAACAATGCATCGATGATTCAACACCAGATGGCGCTGTTTCGATCCGTCAGTGGTCTCTTCAGTGGTACTAGGCTCAACCACGAATGTATTACTGGACTGAACTGTTCTCAAAGGACATGTTTTGCAACTGACCTCCTTTGGGAGCCTCGCTCATCTTTGATACTTGACAGTTTTCTATCGATCCCATTGATGGCGTTTTCATAAGGGGAAATGTTTCTGCTCACACTTATTCGGGTGGCTTTTCAGAGAATAGATGAAGATGCTAAGGGAATGAAACAGATTTCACAGTCAGGGCATTACTATAAATGCCAGTTGCATATAATTGTCGCGATATTTGCCATGGAAGTAGTGGAATGCTGATAAAGATGAATATTTCAAATATCCATTTTCTCACTAGAATATAATGAAATTTCCTCTACTTTTTTCCCTTGTGTTTTCCATTTCAAAATCCTAGCTGTGATAAATAGGGATCCTATCTCACATTCTATTTTTTTCAGGAAAAAAACTATAGGACATTACACTCAGTTGGTTTGGGCAGATACGCTAGAAATAGGCTGTGGCGTTTCATTCTACATAAAACAGAGGGAAGGCAGAAGATGGTATGACAAAATACTTGCTTGTAACTACGGACCAGGAGGTAATTATTTGGGACAACCGGTATACAAAATTGGAAAACCAGCTTCGAAATGTTCGAAACGCAAACCCAATAAGAAGTACACAGCGCTCTGTGGGAAAGATATACCATTGAATCAGACATTGAGATTTAAAGATGAATTTTTCAACGTGTCGATATGAGAAAAGCAGTTGAATTTTTTGATTTTTGAGATATTCATTATTGTACTTCATGGTAATATTGAAAAGACGTAGCACGAACCTATGTTCCACTTGTTAACACATTAAATGCACCTTGTGTGCATGACACCAATAAAAAATTGTAGGAAATTGGTATTTGATTTTTTGATCAGATCGAATATGAAAGATGTTTAAATCCTGCGTTAATCGAAAAAGTTATATGAGTGACTTCCAAACAAGTCAATGGTTATAAAGATTGATATTAAATGATTAATCGATATATACAAAATCCATAATTTCAATTGATTTTCTTGTACATATTTTCATCTGAAAATTCATGCTTATAAATTTGAATTCTCAAAACTTCCAAATGTAGTTTCCAATAGTACATTAGAGAAGTCAAAATATTTTTTCGAACAATCGATTCTTTTAAAATGACAGCAACAAAAAATTTTCGTTCCTTGCATAATGAAAACATGGTTTGAAATATTATTTAACCCGTTAAGTTTCCTGAAAAAAGTAAAGTATCAAATTCAATATTATGGAAAAACATTTCTCTCACACCAGATATTCCGATTCCACCTATCAATATAAAAGTCAAACATATCAGATAGTATAGAAATTTACTTTTTGGGTATTTATTTTAAATATAGCTGAGAATTTTCGAGCTGGCATTTTAATATACCTAATTACCATATAAAGTANCAATATATTTTCGGGGTGAACATTTCAGTTTTCCTTTTATTACATACACTTCAGCAAATTTCCCAGTAATTAAAATTCGTTCATTTTTTAGAATCTGTAAGGTTATATCCCAAAAAAATGGAAAAAACATTGACTTCTCCTCAAAAAATATTTCTCAAACGATATTTCCAATTTTGATTTCGATCTCAAACTTGGGATTTTATCTTCGAAACTGTGTTAGAATCTGATGAAGTCTGTTTTTCCATCAAACAGCTATCGCCTCCTACGAACGATAACCCTCAGAAGTAGAAACTTACTCGAGCTAAGGATTGACGAGGTCGTTTTTTTCAATATGCGATTTCTAGCATGATGCAGTGTAGTTCTGAATACTAAAACAGTTGTAATTTATAATTTTTCTCAAATTATTTAGAAAATCTTGAAGTATGAAAGCTAATTTCCATTCTTTGAACGATATTTGTTTGTTTAATAAGTCAATGTTTTTTTAATTCTTTCAAGTATTTAATCTTCCTTAATCTGAGATATGAATGAATCTAGATCAACAGAAAATATGGTACTGAAGGGAAAAGTGAAAATTCTATTTCAAAAAGTTATATAATGTTTACATATGGAAAAAATATGAAAATGGGTCATGGCGGTAGTTTGAAAAACAAAATTTGCATCTGAAAAGAATAAAAAAAGAAATAAAAAAGTAGGTGTTATCTAAATTGATTATTATTATTATCAAATTATCACAACAGGTCGCTTTTCGACTTATGTAGGTCACCACTCTTGAATTCATGAGTTTAACAACCAGCGGCAGCGTTCAATTTTATTGTGTGCATCATTGTTTATTTAACTACCTCTCCTCCTAGCTTGCCTAAAAACTCCCGATATAACCGAGTTTTTATATTTCACATGTTAGTTTTATACTTGATAATGGGGTAAAATCCGAAACCGGTCATAAAAATAAAATAACCAGTGGAAGTTAGACAATTTTTTTTAATTCATTTCATTAAAGGGATCTGTAGCAAAATGTAGCTTCGTGCTATTCTGCCCAAACCAGATTTTATGGTATGGAGCACTGACTTTTTGAAAACGTAAGGTTAAATTAGGATGGTTACCTACTGCGTAAGCTATCATTGCTGTGTGGACCTCCATCAGACCAAAAACATTGCCATATCTGAAGATAAAAAGCAATACTGCCATCTTTCTAGTTTGAATTAAAACAAAAAAAGTCTACTACCAGTGAGAAATTTACTGGGAATATGGAAAAGAGAGAGAGAGACTCCTGCTGGGATCTTTCGCGATTTGACGAAATAGGATGGCGATCATGGAAAACCGTATTCATGGTTATCGACTCTTTTTGCCGCAGACAGCAATATGTCACAGTTATACACACTGTATCTGCTTAAGGAAAGCAGTCATATAGGTTAGATAGACTCAAGATTGGAGCCGAGGTACCGCAAGAATTGGCCCTCGGACCCATATTGTTTATATGTTACATAAACTATATTGCTAACGCAGTCAGTAAGGGTTGGTCAATCTCACTATTTGCCGACGACTTGTAGAAGCGGGAGTCTCGAAGTCTCATACATACATGACTGAACTCGTGGTTCGTAGAAAAAGAGCTAAATCACCCATTTGCGAGGGAGTCTTAATCCCAATACAGAAATTGGAGACGGAGTCATGTCACTATCATCTTCTTCAAAGTTCCTAGGATTCGTTATGGACCACACATGAAACTAAAAGAGCAATGCGAATATCTTCGATCGAAGTAAATAGCTTCTGCTATATGTTTGAGGTCTTGAAAACAGTCATGTCCTCCCCTGAACTTATTTTCGTCTCTAGTGCACATGTAGCTTCGTGGCTCTATTGCGACATATGTTTTTGGGTGAGATGTCAGAAAACTCGACATATTTTCTGTATCTAGTATTTTCATTTATGAACTTTGCAAGTATATTCATTTGTCAATCAATGGGTTTCCCCTCTCCCCTCTATTAAGTTATATTTTCAAAGAATGGAGCAGGATAATATGAACGCAATCGAGAAACATGGTG